TCTCAGAGTTGTTGCATTTGGTATGGTTATTTGGCCCTCTGATTCAGTCTTTCTCGGTTCACATGCATGGCTGTCTTTGAGATGTAAAGCTTTTCGTTCCTGTATAAACGGATTTGTTCTTTTTTCTGGACTTTTTCTTATAGTTCCATGTTCTTTTCCAATGTGTCTCCTTCAGTGAATTCTCACCAATCAATGTCATATAGTTAGAGATTCACTATTTTTTTTTATGTCTCTCCCACCTTCTTTATACCTCTTGCTGATATTGTGGCTCACTAGATCCCATGCAACCCTGGGCATTCCTCTTCCCCCATGTTACCCAGACTGGCATCAATTTGGAACCTTCTAATGACTCAGCAATATGTCTGAGGACTTATTATGCTCTAATATTTGGATTTTCATACCTGTGGTGAGTGCAGTACAGGTGGTACATTATGTAGCTTTGTGCTTGACAACAACTAGACCTGCAAATAAAGCCTCTCACCTGATGCCTCTGTTCAGTGTAAGGGGTGCAGTTCTGGACATCTGCTCCATTTCAGAAGTCTGGTCTCCAGAGGAGTGCCCTCTTTATCAATGTTCCAGTATTAGTTGCTCAATGAGCTTGACATCATTTTCTGACTTTTTTGTCTGGTCTTATGATTCTGTTGCATTTGATCATCTGCTTTGTAATTATTTTTATCCATTGATGAGGAGGCACTCACTCTCAGGATTTCTGTTTCCTTTGCTCTAGACTTTCTCTTTTGGGCCCATGACCACCACATTCAGTTGTTGGACTATCATGTCTCATGAGCTTTGACCCTGGTAACAGAACAACTATCTCACTACGACCATAATCTTTCCTCTGGTGTTTTCAGTGAATTTGCTGTCACTTTGAGAGTTCTTTCATTGCTATCTTTCCAACTCCCATCAACAATTAGTTTTCACTCTTTTGTTACCTATTACCAAACTCTCCAGCTCTGGCATAGATGTTCTAAGTTTGGATTGGTTTAGTAATTTTTTTCTACCTGTTACACAGATCTCTTCAGAGCTTTTTTGCTTGTGGGAGATGTTGCTGTGACGTTTTTGCTTTGGACACGTCCCATACACTTTAATGCAGATATAGGTTGATTTAATTCTTAAACTGCTTCTTTCTCCCAAGACTTTGGCTGCCCATTAGGGTAATTGGATGTTTTCTTTAATCACCCTCCCTTCAACTTTTTCTTTATATGATCATTCTGACCCCAGTTATCTTCTGTGTCTTGTTTTGGCAGCACTGTGTTATGTTGCTGATACTGCTCTCATACATGACAGTCTACATCATCTTTAATTGCTGGGGAACCCCCTATTGCTTGGGAAGTATCACCTTCCCCTCTCAACTGGTGGGGCTCATCAATTTAACCAGCTTGTTTATAATTCCATGAGAGAGAATGCCTGTACTTTATCAGATCAACTCCATCAAGCTTTTCTTGTCTGTCACCATTGATTTCCTCTGATGACACCTGACACATTTATGTCCAATTACTGAAATCACATGGTTGTTTTGTCTTCCCAGAGACTAGTGAGGTATTAATTATTTTCTAATTGCTCCTTTATTACAGTTCTCTTAGCACCATTATTATACATTCATGGATATATACTAGAATTCATGGAATCCACCAAGTAGCTGATGGTGCTTCACAGGCAATACTTTTCTTTCCCAAAATCTGCATCAAGCAGTGGAGTACATGAAGTGTTAAACCCATCTGTCCTTGATCCATGTTTACCTGTTGAGATAGGATTTTTTGCAAGACTGTGTCAGCATTCTGTATACATTTTCTGTTACAGACTGTACTTTACAATAAAAAATAAAAAAAGATGACAGCACCAGGGTCGTGCCTGCTCTCACACCTGGTTACCACTTGCTGTTCTTAGTCACAGTAACTCATTGCATAGTCTACAAATGTGGGACCTTATGCAGCTGTGATGTTTCCTGTTTGATCCAAGCACTTTTCCAGTATTTTCCCCATGCAAATTCTTCCCTCCCATTTTCTTCTAGTTGAGTAAAGGAGAGAGAACACTTATTTCCCTAGTCCCAAAATGCTAGGAGAATTGTTGACATGGAGAGTTCTCAATTCAGTTGGTGTAATCCCACTTGAATGAGACTGACTGGACCCATCCCTCGATAGGAAGTAGGGCTGGGGTGTTGCACGGAAGTGTATTTATCCCTGACATCAGTTCAAAAATAATCAACACTTGGAGAAAACTTGCCATTAAGCATAAAATTCATGTTGACTTCAAACTCACCAAAAAACCTAGCCCTAAACTAAAATCATTATTAAATAAAAATTACATAGAATCACACAGTACCAACATTGTTTATAAAATAATGTGCAATAACTGTCCAGAATTCTACATCAGAGAAACAGGTAGAAAATTGGAAAACAGATTCACTGAACCTAATAAAAATCCTTCCCATGTTTACCACCCTTTCAACCAAAAAAACAACAAAAACAGTATATCTATACAACGCATTGTAATTTTAAACAAAGAACAAAACATTAATAAATGCAGAATAAAGGAAGGCTATGAGACAGTCTCCTCTCGTGTGACTTCTTTGTTCCATACTTTATATATATATATATTCATGTGTCTCTGTAAACTACTTGTACCCAAGGATGAAATAATCTTGTTGAAACATCATACATTTATAATAAAGTTTTTTCATTACCCAGTCAAGCCATCTCCAAACCTTTATTTTCTAAAAATTGGGTTCTTTGTCATCAAATTTACATTAAAAATTAAGTAAATTATTTTTTTCATTCAAGTTATACCAAGCAGTATAACATAAAATCATAACTAATAATCCATATTGTAATAGTATACAAGTTTTAAGTTTTGGTTTTATAAGGCATTATTAAAAAAACATACTGAATTTTCCTTATTGGCCCCCAATTGGTACAGTGGTATGTCGACAGACTTACAATGCTAGAAACTTGGTTTTGATACCCATGTTAGGCAGAGCACAAATAGTTCATTTTGTAGCATTGTGCTTAATTACAAACAAACAAATAGTTTTCCCTAGTGTAAAAAATGTAATATTTTTTCTATAGGCATCCCCTCTTTAATTTATTTACAACCCCTCCAAGAAGTATGAAATTTAATGTCTCATTCATAACTTGTATATAATGGCATGTAGCCCAGGCACATGCACTGCAAGTAGCTTAGTTCTGAGCAATGACCTTGTTCATCTGTAGCATTCTTGACCCTGCCACGGAGATTATAAAAGTTGACTTATACATGTACAAGTACACATACAGTAATTTGTTGCTCTCCTATACCCATGCACTTTGGGGCTTGTGTAAATATTGCATAGCGTGTTCATGATGGCCATTTGGCTAGGTTTGTTGCAGGAATATTCTAGATTGTATGTTTCTTTTTACTTGGATTGTCAACAAGTCATTTAAGTTGAGTCACAAGTCAAGTGACAAGTAGTAATGGGCAAATTGCAAGTCATTTTGTCCGAGTCCCAAGTCAAGTCACAAATTAAAAAAATTGAGATCCTAATCCAACTCAAGTCCAAGTCACACACCTTGAGTTTACAACTCTGTTGACACACAAAGTGAACTGAATACAATTAAACAGAGATTAATAAAGAGTATTTTTAAGTTTGAATCTTATTTGTTTGCAACCATTTCATCCTAAGTCAGGCATGCCATATTTGAGTTAAATGAGAAGATATCCTGCTTCAGATTATAATCTGAACTTGAAAAACAATAAAATTTCTTCTCCTTGATCATTTAAAAAAAAAAAGAACACAAAAACAAGTAGGCATTGTTTTCTTCAATTTCTGAGGAAAATAGAATTTAGGTATCACTTCTGACAAAATTTTTGCCATTCATTATTCATATAAGTAATATGTAGAGTAACAAATTATTTTAAAACATATTTATATCACTTAAGAAAACATAACTCCACAATTTCTGAATAATATCTAAGGCTTGGAAGTTTGCATTTTTTTATCTTAAACAAGTTATTTTACTACCATTCTTCGTATTACTGTTGAGAAATTAGCCAAACATTGTGAAAAGGATTTTTTCTAGCTGTTAGGTTTTTTTAAAGCATCTTTTTTTTTAATGAATATTGCATGTTTCATTTGGTTGTGTAAAGTAAAATATAGAAAATTATGAAGAGTATAAGTATCCTAAGAAGGTTTTACTTTATTTTTTCACCAAATAGCTAACTAGTTTTTTGCATTGTTACTCTCATAGATAAAATTTGTTTAACTAACATGTGTTTGAGCAGTTGTGTTATTTGTTGCACTGCAGAACAGGTACTGCAGTGAACACAATGCAAAAGATTAGAGTAACTGAAAGTAGCAAGGCACCACTAAGGCATAACTAAGATAATACCCAGAGATAGGAAGCAATTATTAAAAGTTTATTGCCCATGCGGTGTGAGAGAAAACAAGACTTTTCAAATGTATGTTTTATCCTGAGCACAATATAAATGTTAGACTGGAGAAATTGGTGCACTTATCTAATGAAATAAAAAAAATTATATTACATTATTTCCATAAGTAAATATTTCAAAAACTTTCTTCTAATATTAGTGTGTTTTAATAGTGGATGTTTGATCTTGGTTCTAAAAATATTTTAAAGTATTACTTTTCATGGCTTGGTGGGTTATTACCTAGAGCTGGTATTAAGGCAGTCAGTAGGTTTGATTTTCCTTTTTCCCTGTGGTTGAACATCAAATTTATAAGAGGTGTAATTTATAGAATCACAAATGGTGAAGTGTTCTAAACAGTGGCTTTTAAAGATGTATATCATCAGTATTGTTCAACTGTGAGCTTACTTTTAATTTGAAGAAGTGGTATAGAATATTATCTGGTTATTATAACTGTTTTCATTATTTATTTATTTTTTGATGCTACAAGATATAGTTGACATGTATAACTACAAAATACAACATATGAGTAGAATGTTACATAATGTGTAGCCAATAAGGAAACAAAGATATTCACGTAATTTTGCCTTTTTCTTTAGGTTGATAAGAGAAGAAAGGGAATGATGGTTGTGTACCCCAAGCCCCCTCAGGGGTACAAAGACTATCTTATCAACAGATGTTCCTATGTATTGGAGGGTAATGCAGCCAGCAGGTTGTCTGTACCAATGGTAATAAAGAAAATGTGTTTAGTTGTAGTTTTAATGATTTGAGTGTAGTAGATAGAATGTACAAACAGAGGTGGTATTTCATAGGCTTTGTATGAACAAAGATCAGGTTTCAATATGTACAGTAGTAGGTGTAGGCCTAGGCTTAGTAAGTATTAGTACTGTAGGAACAAAGATCAGGTTTTAACATATACAGTAGTTGGTGTTGGCTTAGGCTCAGTAATTATTGGTGATGTATGAATAAAAATAAGGTTTCAATATGTAGAGTAGTGGATGTAGAACTAGACGTAAATATTGGTGTTCTATGAATAAAAATTAGTTTTTAATATGTACAGTAGTAGATATAAGCCTAGGCTTAGTAAATATTGGTGTTGTATGAATGAAAATAAGGTTTCAATACGTAGAGTAGTAGATGTAGATCTAGGTTTAGAAAAAAAAATATATATATATATACGAGGCCTGTGAGAAAAATATCCGACCTTTGGCCTGGGACTAAAAACTGGCATACCTGGAGCGTTGGAAACCTAATCA